TAACAGCAAAAATGTTTTTAGATAAATAAATAATATGTCGTGGTGAGAAATAACAGACCTCAACTCTATTGTCCCTCTGCAAATTTGTGTACACAGAGTCAATCCCTTACCTCTCTCTAAAGTGCAAAGTTTCAAAAAGTTCAATGAATAGAAGATTGTTGGGTCCGGAATAGATCTGGATAAGGAGAAGAAGTCTGGAGATAAATGTGAGAAGAGAGGGACAGGCAGTAGAAACAAAAGTGTAACTGTTTGAGCAGCATATTCCAGAAGTCTTGAGGTCTTTCTGAGTGTAGCCTTCATTGATTTGACATCTTCCATACTATTCTCTCACTAGAAGGGAAAACCTATAATGGCAGCAGGCTATAAAAGAGACCCAGTTTGGGAATATTTTAATGAAGTTCTTCTACCTGTGCGTAAGACAGGCATGTGTGCAAAATGCAAACAGTGCAACAAAGAAATGCAAGGCCTGGTTGCCTGAATGAAACAACATCATGAGAAGTGTTTCTTCTCAGGTGGAATCTCTGTTGAAGATGATGAAAGGAACATGTCTGAACATGCAGGATCTTCAGGTTGGTAAACTTTTTTATTTCATACTTCTTTCTTAAGGACTGCCTGTCTTCCTTCTGGACTATTCTTGAATTCTCATGTTTGAGCAAAAAATACAGCTATTACTCTATGGTACTATCATTTTAGATGCAGTTGTGATAAAAAATAAACAGCTGAAATAGGCAGATCTTCCTTTTACAATTTCACCTTTAAAGTAGTACTGAGTATCAGTGACTGCAGTGAGGAATACTAAATGAGCTGTATGGTAATAATAATTAAATAACTGCATTGACTTCTTTTGTTTAGGAGAATCCATCCTCAACATACAGTATTCTGAAGACTATCCAGCTTCAAGATCACCATCATTTTCTATAGTTTCAGAGTTATCTGCCAATGATAGTGTTTCAGTCACATCATGTATGTCACATAGCCACAGTATATCACCTGTAGCAAAAAGAAAAAAAATCTCCCTCATCCAGAAACAACCATAGATAAGTTTGTGATAAGAACCATCAGATTACAAAAAGAGGTAATTGATGAAAAAAATGCCCAGTTTGTTTATGCAACAAACTTTCCTTTCCACGTGGTTGAGAACCCACACTTCATTAACATGGTTCAGTCATTAAGAGCAGGATACAGTCCACCCAACGGAGCAGATGTTTCAGGCAAATTGCTGGATAAAGTGTATGAAAGAGAAATTGAGCAGTGTGCAAAAGGTCTAGAGGGTGAAATTGTTAACCTGAGTCTTGATGGGCGGAGCAGTGACCACAATGATCCTGTTGTATGTGCTTGTGTGACAACAGAAGAAGGGAATGTCTTCCTTACAGAAACAATTGATACATCAGAAAATGCGCACACAACAGAATACTTAAAAGAAGTAGCAGTAAAAGCTATAACAAACTGAAAAAAAATTCAAATATCTAGTACGCAGCTTGGTCACAGACAATGCAGCGAATGTATCCAAGATGAGAAGAAATTTAGAAGAGAGTGAAGAGAGTTCCAAGCTAATAACATACAGTTGCAGTTCTCATTTGATGCACCTCCTAGCCAAAGACTTCAGTGTTCCAGAAATAAAGGCTAATACTGAAATTGCAAAATACTTTCATAACAACCACTTTGCAGCAGCTGCTCTGAAAAAAGGGGGAGGAACCAAGCTAACACTCCCACAAGATGTGTGATGGAACTCAGTAGTGGGCTGTTTTGAGCACTGTATCAAGAACTGGCCTAATCTGATGACAGTTTGTGAACAAAATTGTGAAAAAATAGATGGCACTGTCACAGCCAAAGTTCTCCACATTGGGTTTAAGAGAAATGTTGAACGCATGCTAAGTACCCTGAAGCCTGTTTCTGTGGCCTTGAACAAAATGCAGGGAAATAGCTGTTTTATTGCTGATGCTGTTGAAATTTGGAAGGAACTAAGTGAGATCTTAAAAAGAGAAATATGCAATGATGGAGTTAAATTACAAGCATTAAAAAATGAATGGGACAAGCACTATCTCTAGCTCATTTTCTTGCAAATATTCTCAATACTCGGTACCAGGGTCAAACCTTAACTGCTGAAAAAAAAAGAGTTGGCTATGACGTGGCCATCCATAGACTCATAGAATATCAGGGTTGGAAGGGACCTCAGGAGGTCATCTAGTCCAACCCCCTGCTCAAAGTAGGACCAATTCCCAACTAAATCATCCCAGCCAGGGCTTTGTCAAGCCTGACCTTAAAAACCTTGAATCATCCCTCCATAATGCCAACTATAATAAACTTCAGAGCTAAGGGTGAACCATTCAAGAAATATATGTTTGCTGATGATGTTTTAAAGCAAGTCACACCAGTGAACTGGTGGACGTCACTTAAGCACTTGGTTTCAGAGACTGTTGAAGTGATAATCTCACTTTTAACAGCAGTAGCTTCTTCTGTTGGTGTAGAAAGAATATTTTCTTCCTTTGGACTAATTCATTCCAAATTGAGAAATCGTTTGGGACCTGAAAAAGCAGGAAAGCTTGTTTTTCTTTTCCAGATTATAAACAAACAGGAAAATGAAGGTGAAGACAACTGAGTTAGCTGCAGAAGCCAATATTTTAAGTTGATCTGGCTGACCCAGTCGCTTTAATTTTTGTTGTTGTTTTTTTAAATATTTCATTTAACTATTTTAGGTAAAAACAATTTTAACAAAAAACAAACCTGATTTTAAAAAACTTGAATGTTTAACTAAATTCAAAAATTCATATGCTTGTTTTGTTAAAATATTATATGTTTACTGTTGAAGAAAAACATCCAGAATACATAATGTTGTTGTTCTTTTAGTTAAATAAAACAATTTAAATGTCTATCTGGTGATGTTCTCCTCCTAATACAGCATGGCAAGAAATCCTCCAAATATTAATGATTAACCTGTTGAATTGGAGGTAGTTCACCTCCCAATGACTTCATAAATATCTGCTTCAATTACCTTTGGTAAATGAAATAACCAAACAATCATTCATTTTCTGATATAGCTGTAAAACTAATCTGAAAAGTTTTCAAAATAAATCTCTTTAAAAATGTATAGTGTGTACCTTCTAAAAATGAAACCTACATCTATCTCTGAGTTGTGAAGAATATGTATTAAGGTTATAACAACCAACAAGAATGCATTTTTATGTAGAAATCCATGATTAAATCGAGTCTTCCTGACTAATTATTTAAATCATGATTTTAAATCAAATCCACCCTGAAGTAGACAGACGTAATCAAGATGATGATTGTTCTCTCTTTGATAAGCATCAAAAATCTCTAACATGGAATGAATGTGACAATTGTGATGAGAGATTTATAGGGGCTGTTGTAACTGATGACACTTGTAACTGACATAGAAGGTATAGAAATGCAATTAAATATTTTTTTCTGCTGAAAGTAACATGGATCCTGCCCACAGCCTCCTGAACTATGTACTCTAACTTTGGTTAAAGAACAGCGGATTGCTAGAGTATACCCTGTAGTATGTGTACAGAATTCTGTGTACAGAATTCTTGGCCAATGGTTTGGTTATAGTTAAGGCTACGATTTAGTCACGGAGGTCATGGCAGTCATGGATTCCGTGACTTTACCGGACCTTTGTGATTTCTTCAGCTTAGGCTGTCAGCAGCTGGAGCTGGGGCTATACTCCCCTGCCCCACGGCTTGTGGCGGGGGCTGCAGCTGGGGCTGTGCGCCCCTGTCACACAGCTTGTACGCTTATTTTTAGTAAAGGTCATGGACAGGTCATGGGCTCCATGAATTTTTGTTTATTGCCTGTGACCTGTCCACGACTTTTACTAAAAATAACCATGACAAAATCTTAGCCTTCGTTATAATGAACGGGTGATCAGCTTTCCACAGGCTGTCAACATTGTAGCAAGGTGTCTTCTACATTCATTGAACTCACTGCCTTCAGTGGTTATGTTGCATCACAATACAGTGGATGGACAGGTGAGCCCTTGCCTCCACTTGAGCCAGTCCAGCCCTCTGTTTTCACTTAAACTGGATAACACAGAGCACAGTCTACTTGAGCAATGAAACTTGTGACCCTCTAGTTAGTGTTTGCACTGGTGTGAGGAAATATATTTGAAAAAATCTTAACTCTAAGTTAATTAAACGAGGTGTGTTTGTGTGGCAGTTTATCAGCAGTCCCATGCAAAAAGCTTGTATTAATTTCCTAGGGTTTAAAAAAAAAAAGCTTAACCGGGGGCAGTCCTGTGGTGGATGGAAGTGCAGCTGCTGATGAGAATGTTTTATTGTTAAGCAGTTCTACATGACTGCTTCTCCATTGTAGGATAAAATCTCACCAAAAAAAAAAAAAAAAAGTAGCAGCTTCTGATTGAGAAGGTTTTATCTATACACACCCAGCCTCATCAATCAGCTAAAAGGAATCCTAAATCCTATTTAACTACCTGTTGAACCAGATCTACTTGGGACCCAACTTGCTACCAAGTTTTCTGTAGAGAGTCAATGTTTTTGTAAGATTTCTGTCAACAATGAAAACTAAAATGGCTATGGATAAATTTCAGCCAAAGTCCAATTTAAAAGATTTCCAATTAAAAATTGTAAAGTGAAGCCAAACAAAAATTCAAAAGGCATAGAAATTAATACTGAAATTTCACACTAATAGGGTATCTACTTTTGAAGGGGGAATGGGGAACAATGTATACACCTTTCTAGCCTATTTCAGAAAGCAACCCTTTCTGTGGAGCCATTACTAGCTACTTTGATGATCTTGGTGGTTCATGTCTAGATTTTAGTTTTCCAGATACTCACATGTGGAAAAATTATGTTGAATACTAAATTTGGCACTCCCACTGTTTTACCTCTGCCCCTTGTGTATTTGTCTTTCCCCACCCCAGTATTTAATTTCTCTTGGGGGAAGGTGTCTTTTTTCCCCCCCTTCACTGATCTTTTTTTGTCTTTCCCTTTTTCCCTCTGCTTCCCCTCACCTCCTCCCAGGATCAATAGCAGGAATGGAATAGTGCTAAGCTCAAGTGTGGAAGTGTATAGTAAACAGATCCATAGGTAAATTACTTCTGTGCTTGAGTGCTATGCTTCTTTGTGGCAGTTGCTATTGCTTCCAGTTCTGCAAAAGTCCACTACTCAAGGTCCCTTGAGTGAATTAGTAATCGGGAGGCATCATGGCAATATTTATGAATAGCAGAAAAGCAAGAATATATGGCAGAACTGCCATACATAAACATTTTGATGAAAACCATGGAAAGTATCCTAGTGCAGCCTAGGTAAGTAATGGTTGTGGAGCCATCATTAGTGTTAATTTATTGATTTTTAACAAGCACATATGAATCTTTTTACAGCCTTATGTAAGTTAGATTTAAGAGGTATGTATTCATTTCCTTTTCATTTGGTGACTCTTCTTTGCTTCTTTATCCTTGCAGTAGTTTTACTCAGTGATTGGATTCAAGATTTAGATCTCATGAGGTGTAATGGTACCATATCCTCAGTGTGGTATGGCATGCAATATCGCCATTCGTTTATACCGAGGAGCCAAAGAATGAATTTACATGTACTGAGGACTTACTGCTCACCAGTACCTAAGAGGCCTGAGACTAAGACTGCAGTGGAAATGGCCATGACACTTTTTCATCGGATGACAGAAGTAGGGAAAGTTTTGGGAAGAAACTCGCTCAAAAGAATCTCTACAACAGTCAAAAGTTGGTGGGATAGATATGAAGAGTTTGTTGGTCTTAATGAAGTTCGAGATGCTCAAGGAAAAGTGACAGAGGTAATACTTTGCATTGTTAACATACAGAGACAATGTGGAAGGCTAGAAGTGATGAGTTGTCTTGTTAAAACATAAGTTCTAGCTTTGAAATATAAAGGAAAACTGTTACACTTCTCTGGGGCACCCAGGGTTGGGAGGCTTCTCACCAACACCTGCCTTTAGCATGAGGAAGTCTTGTCAATCCTTGCTGTGGTTCAGTTCCCCAATATCACCAGCCTGTGGTTACACAAACACTGCCTTCCAGGGCTCCGCGGGCCCTGCTGTTTCTTTACAGGTTAATGATAGGTACACTCCAAACCCTGAGTCTTCCACGTATCCCTCTGGAGTGCCCAGCCTCTGTTCCACTGGATGCTTCCAGAATTAACAGATACCTACTTCCAAAAGAATAGTACACACCAACTTACTAGTTTCACCTCAGGATCACTACTCTGCTCAACACACAGTCCTTAAATACGTTTTTAATGACAACAAGAAGTTTATTTAATGCTGAGCAAAGATTCAAATAATAACAAGTAGATAGAAGTATTGGAAATAAAGGATTATATATAAAATAAAATCATCACACTCATTCTAGAACCTACTAATGCCCACCAGCGTTTTTCAGCCAGATAGGCTGCCATGCTCTCAGCTTGTCCCCTCAGCAAAATATTCAGAGTGTAGCTCTGTACCTATAGTTACAGTTATACTAGTTCAAAAATCCATGGTCTTCACTTGTAAACAGGACTTTTCCCCCTGCTGGTTTATTTCTTCCGTAAATTCCCTCTCAGAATGTAAATGGATGCCCATTGTGAACCAATACTCAATTTCCATGTAATCAGACATATAGATAAACGTCTCTTGCCTGAAGAAACCTGTTTTCTCACCTTCTGGTGACCAGACCAAAGACATAGACCTTAAGAGCATAGTTTTCAGTATATACATGTAACTCCTTACATGTTATCAGTACTTTCACAATTATTATGAAGACGAGTGTGACACAGGCTTTCAGTAAAGACCTCACATGACCCTCTTTGGTGAGCTACTATGTAGATACCAGATCTAGGGGATTCCTGTGAGCTAGGACTCAAGTGATTAACTCAAAAAAATTAATTGCAATTAAAAAAATTAATCGCAGTTTTAATCACACTTTTAAACAATAGAATATCAATTGAAATTTATTAACTATTTTGGATGTTTTTCTACATTTTCAAATATATTTATTTCACTTACAATACAGAATACAAAGTGTACATATTCACTTTATATTATTTTTATTACAAATATTTGCACTGTAAAAATGATAAACAAAAGAAATAGTATTTTTCAGTTCACCTCCTACAAGTACCATAGTGCAATCTCTTTATTGGGAAAGTGCAACTTACAAATGTAGATTTTTTTTGTTTTGGTTTGTTTGTTACGTAACTGCACTCAAAAACAAAACAATGTAAAACTTTAGAGCCTACAAGTCCATTCAGTCCTACTTCTTGTGCAGCCAATTGCCAAGAGAAACAAGTTTATTTACATTTACAGGAGATAATGCTGCCTACTTCTTATTAACAATGTCACTTGAAAGCGAGAACAGACGTTTGCATGGGACTTTTGTAACCGGCATTGCAAGGTATTTACGTGCCAGATATGCTAAACATTCGTATGGCCCTTCATGCTTCAATCACCAGTCCAGAGGACATGCGTCCATATTGATGACGTGTTCTGCTCGATAACGATCCAAAGCAGTGCAGACCAACGCATGTTCACAGACCACGGCCAGCAGTGCCCCTCTGCCGTGTACATTGGCAAAACCAAACAGTCACTATGCAAAAGGATTAATAGACACAAATCTGACATCAGGAATCATAACATTCAAAAACCAGTAGGAGAACACTTTAACCAGTCTGGTCACTCAGTTACAGACCTGAGGGTGGCAATTTTGCAACAGAAAAGCTTCAAAAACAGACTCCAACGGAAACTGCTGAACTTGAATTGATATGCAAGGTAGTTACAATCAACTTAGGCTTGAATAGAGACTGGGAATCGCTGAGCCATTACAAACATTGAATCTATCTCCCTATGTAAGTATTCTCACACTTCTTACAAACTGTCTACTTCAAGTGTTCTTTCTCTTACTTAATTGGCCTCTCACAGTTGGTAAGACAACTCCCACCTTTTCATGCTCTCTCTATGTGTATATATATCTCCTCTATATATGTTCACTTCTATGCATCCGAAGAAGTGGGCTGTAGCCCACAAAAGTTTATGCTCAAATAAATTTGTTAGTCTCTAAGGTGCCACAAGTACTCTTGTTCTTTTTGCAGATACAGACTAACATGGCTGCTACTCTGAAACTTGAAAAATGCTATTTCTTTTATTTTTACAGTGCAAATATTTATAATAAAAAATAAAGTGAGCACTGTATTGTATTCATGCAATTAATTTTTGAAATCATGTGACAGCCCTACTGTAAACCTTATTCATCCCTGTACCCCCTGCTAGTTGACACCGAGGTCTCTGGGTCACAAAGACTGCAGATACAGTACTCAGTTTGCCAGTAGAAAGGAGATTCCTTCACTGAACTTCGGAAAAAGAACAACTATATATCTTTGCTGAAAATGAACTGAGGAATGAATTAATATTATGAATGTGGTCAAGCCTAGTAGCTTGTCTTCTGGACTTTATTAACTGAGAAATCTCCCTTCTCCAAATTCACATCCATGAAGTCAGCAATTTAGACCTACTCAGTGATAAACAGGAACTTGTTTGCATTCCCTCTTTTCAGGCTGAAAAAGTGTTTATGGTAGCTCGAGGGATCGTACGAGAAGCTCGTGAGAGCATAGAAGCCCATCAAATCAAACTGAAGGAAGTTCGCGATCGTTTGGATCGAGTATCTCGGGAAGACACCCAGTACTTAGAACTGGCTACCCTGGAACACAGATTGCTGCAGGTAAAGGATATGCCAAGAGTTGGAGCTTGGGGACAGTGGGTCCCTTGTTTTTACCTCTACTGATCATTATTGCAAATAGCCAATCCTATTTCTAAAACTGAAACCTAAATTAATCTCTAGTGCCATTGACTTGGGATGAATTTGGTACACTACACGTTAGAGAAATGGATCATATAGGTTAGGGTTGGAATATGCTGGTAAAGCTGTGGAAGAAAACCCAAGATTAAGTGAACATTGAGAATAAATTGTCTGCCTAAGGAGGCAGGGGTAGTTGGGACAGTGTTCCCTGTAAAACTGGAATTCAATAAGAAAGTCTAGAATTGAATACATTTTTAAAGGCAAAATTTAGTTCATGAGCAGCTAATCTGCTTGACAGGACTGGCTCTAGGTAAAATAATATCTGCATGGTCCCATGCATCTTCCTCCCCACTTACGATGTTGTCCATTCCCACCTGGGTGTCCATGATAACCACACCTGCTGCCACCTGTCTGATTGCAGAACTCCTTAACCTTATTAAAGGCTGTGCAGACTCAAAAATAAGTGGCACTTCTACTTGGATCGGAATGCCACTAGGTGGAGCTGACATGCAGCTTTCCAAGCAATGATGTGAGAAGGGCTTCCACTAATTCTGGCACCAGAGTTCGAAAGGACAAGAGAAAGAATCAAGGATAGCACTCTAGCTGATGGGTCGGGTCAGGTCAGTGTGTTATGAGACCCCTGGAAGAACAGGGCCTCATGTGACTGCATACATTACATAGGGCTAAAGCTGTCATCACTGTCTAGGTTAGGGTGACCAGACGTCCCGATTTTATTGGGACAGTCCCGATTTTAGGGGACTTGTCCCGCGTCCTGACCTTACATTGGTCGGGACGCACTTTGTCCCGATATCGGGGGACCGTCTGGTGGAGGACGCAAGCCGGCACTGCCTGCGCCGCTCACCTCTTCTTCCTGAGCCCTGAGGCAGCTCAGCTGAACTCCCAGCGCCTGCCTGCTTGCCTGCCGGCCGGCCAGCAGAAGCCTGCAGAGTGCTGCGGCCCCACTGCCCAGGCACGCACAGAGACGGCGAGGAGGTCTCCACTGTGTGCTGCAGAGGCGGGGGGGCTTGTAGGCGCCGGCAGCGAGCCCCCGCCCCCCCCCCCCCCGACCCGACCCGAGCAACCTTAGGAGCCAGAGGGACAGGACCGGCCTGCTGGATGCTCCCTGGGAGCCGCTCCAGGTAAGGCTAGCACTGCCTGGGACTCACCTGGCCCCCCGGCAGGTCCCTCTGCGTGCTGCCCCCCTCCCTCCCCGAGGGGGGAGGTGGAGACGGAGCAGAGGCAAGCTGGTGGGGGGCGGGGTGTGGAGCTGCCGGTGGGTTCTCAGTTTTTCCTGTGCTCCGGCAGTTTTTTTGTTTTGTTTTGCTGCGCTGCCTGCTTGTGTGTTTTTTTTTTTTGTCTCCGTTTCCCCCCCCCGCATCCCGATATTTGACCTCTGTCATCTGGTCACCCTAGTCTAGGTCAAGGCTAAGATATAGTTTGTTGTTATCCCCATTGTACAAGTGGTGAAGTAGAGGCTCTGAGAGAGTGACTCATAGAGGGTTTCACAGGAAGTTGATATCAGAACCAGTCTCATGATTTCCAAGTTTGTCTCATCCATTAAGACCAAAGTGTCTGCTGAGTAAGTATTTTAACTTTTACATCCCTATTTTCTGCATGTGTACCATGTGGCATCATACTGGATGCTGCTGCAGTACTGACCCTATCCTTGTCACTGTACACATTTTCCTCCTCAGTGAATGCATTCACACACACACAGTCTTAATGGTCTGATAGTTAATCGTCTTTTATGTTGTGAGATTGTTTACTACCTATCTCCTTAATCAACAAATTAGTGGGATAGACAGTTAAGGCAAGATCTGTGAAGTAGCTTAATTCTGGGCTGCACTCAGCCTAGAGCTGGAGGCCAGGGCTGCGTAGCCAGAGCCAGGGGGGTCAGTACCCGCTGCCCCACGGTCAGAGCCCGGGGCCACACGGCCAGGTTCCTTAGGTCCCACCGCTGGAGCCTGCTGCTCAAACCTGCTCCCCCCGATGTGGGTCAAGAACTCACCTTGCTCCTGCAGCATTGTGCCCCACCTCTCTCCAGAGGCAGTGCAGGGCAGCGTATTCAGGAGCAAAAAGGAGGAAGTGGGAGGGGCTGATGCTTTGCCCCCCACCCATCACCACCCAGGAGGCTGTCGTGGCTGTACAAAAAGCCCCTGGCGGCCGCATTAGAGAAACGTTGCTCTAGTGGACCTCCTAAGGCAGGGGTTCTCAAACTGGGGGTTGGGGGCCCTCAGGGGGTCGCCAGATTATTACCTGGGAGGTCGCGAGCTGTCAGCCTCCACCCCAAATCCCGCTTTTCCTCCAGCATTTATAATGGTGTTAAATATATAAAAAAGTGTTTTTAATTTATTAGGGGGGTAGCACTCAGAGGCTTGCTATGTGAAAGGAGTCACCAGTACAAAAGTTTGAGAACCACTGTCCTAAGGTGTGTGAAACAGTTTTCTGGAGATGTCTAGATAAGTAATTGAAGATCATGGCATTTACATGCACTTGTTGGGGCCAGGATGTAGGTGGCCAGCTCTAGTGGTTGGAGCACAAGTTGGAGTTGGGCATCAGGTCAAGGATTGGAATCAGGGTCAGAGCCAGAATCAGATTTGGGGAATCAAGCCAAGGGTTGGAGCCAGAGTTGGAGACCAGAGGTAAGGAACCAGGAACAGATCAGGAAAGCAGGAACAAAGAGCAAAGGAGGGAAACAGGATTCAGGAGTGAGGTGAGAAGGCAGGGTCTGATATAGCAGCCAGGTAGAGCCCAGTTGTGGAGACAACTTCCTGAGCCTCTCTTTGGTCAGGGCTTCCTTTTTAAATCCAGTCAGAGGTCCTGGTGTTCCTACAATCAGGACCCAGAGGAGCCTCCCGATGTAGCTTCAGGTTTCATCATCTCTTTGCTCAATCAGTTAGTAGTGAGCTGCTGGGTGGGAGCAGGGAGCTGACAGCCAACTGGGAACCCAGCAGACCCAGGTTCAAGACCCATGAGGTCATGACAGTACCCTCTCCCCTAGGGGTATCCTGGGGGGGTGCTGGACCGGGTTTCTCCGTGGTTTTTGTGGAACACCTTGAGTAGAGGCATGAATGTTTTCTGCCAGTTCCCACGTACGCACCTTTGGGCCATACCCTTCCCAGTTGAATAGGTACCAGAGTTTGTCCTACTTAAACTTGGAATCGAGGACATCATCAATGATGTACTCTTCATGGCCTTGCATGCATACCATCGGAGGAAGTGGTTGCTCCCACTGAGGGAAGGGGTTTTCTGTATATGTTTTCGCATTGAAACATGGAAAAGCAGATGGATCCTGAGCGTTGAGGCAGGTGGAGCTCAAAGGTGACTGGGTTGATTTGTCATCAGATTCGATAAGGACCCAGGAACTAGGAATCTAGTTTGCAGGAAGGTCTGTCTGTACAAAGATGTTTTGTTGAGAGCTATACCTTATCCCATACTGAATAAGGGGGACTTGGTTGACTGTGCTGGTCTGCATGCCTTTTATAATCCAGTTGTGTTTTTTCAAGATGGCCCTTCAGTCTCTCCTGAGTCTGATGGATCTGTTGAATCCAATCTGATGCTGCTGGATTGGATGAGGATACAGGTAATTTTGGGTGGAACTTGTAGTTTGCGAAGAAAGGGCTCTGACCTGTGGAAGCATGTTCTGCGTATGGTAATAGTGAGGACCAATCATCCAAATGGTAGTTGGTGTAGCATCATAGATACTGTTCCAAGATTTTGTTTACTTACTCTGTTTGACCATTGGTCTGAGGATGTTATGCAGAGGAGAGGCATATATGGACCCCCAGAATTTGCAGTGCCTCCCACCAGAACCAAAAGATGAATTGCATCCCTCAATCAGAGATAACGTTATTTGGGAGACCATGGATATGGACAAACATGGGTTATCCATAGCTGGACTGTTTCTTTGGATACAGGGAACAAAATGGGCCATTTTTGTAGGGTGGTCTGCAACTGTGAGGATGATTGTAAACCCACTGGACCCTGGCAGTTCTATAATAAAATCTAATGCGATAGTTGCTGAAGCCCTTGTTGGGGTTTACCATGTGGTGTCTTGGCAGGAGCACACACGTTGCAGGAAGCAACAAACAACTATGTTGTAGAATATATTTGGAGCCACCAGAAGAAACAGGATACCAAACGTGGGATTTTAAGGTGCCCCAGATGTTCCACTAGCAGGAAGTCAGGGCACACTTGTAGTGCCTCCACATGTAGGGGACCAAGGGGAACGTAGATATGACCCTTCAGAAACATGACTCTCTCCTGAGTGTCATGTGGTTCTTTGTTTAGTGTGGCTAACTCATCAGAAGGTATTCTCAAAGCAGAGGCAGAATGGATTATAGAAAATAAATCCTGTGGGGTGGCAGCATTCAGGAAATTATGGGGTTTAAGTATGTGAGATATTTCCTGGCTCAGACCCTTTTGATTGGTGTAATATTCTCCCTTTTGGGATAAGGTAGCAGCTTTGCCATTTCTAAGTCTTTGCCAGGATGGTAGGAGATAATGAATTTGAACCGTGAAAAAGACACCCCCTCGAGGGGATGATGCCATTCTTTGAAGGCTTTTTTGATTACTAGAAGTGCTTTGTCCAGGATTTCACATTTCTTCTCTGCAAGGTTGAGTTTCTGGGACTAATAAGCACAGGGTGTAAAATCTGCTCTGCCCCCTGTCTTTGTGAGAGTACTGCTTCAATCACCATACTGGAGGTGTCTGCTTCTACAACAAACAACTGCATGGTGTCTGGGTGAACCAGTATAGGAGCAGTAGTAAAGGCTAGCCTTAATTGTTTGAAAGCAGTTTGGACCTCATGAGGCCAATGGAACTGAATATTCTTGTAGAGTAGGGCTGTGAGAGGTGTGATTTGCTTTGAGATGTTTGGGATGAACTGATGATAAAAGTTGGAAAAGCCTAAAAAGAGCATT